TAGTAAGATTACAGTCAAGTACCAAAATGGAAAGATTAACCTAAGCCAAATGCAACGTGTTCAGGACTTCAGTGTCTGTGGGATTTTATATATCCTTTCCCGGATGTGCCAATATTCCGTGGAGAAAGAAGTGCTACGTATTTTTAGACTCAAAATAAGTCGATTGGACATGATTTACCGCTACGCAAAAGTGCTTCGTTTGTCCGTTAGAGGGCGACACTTTTTTTTAAACACATATATTTTAAGAACCGATAGTCCAATTTGAATTAAATTTGTAACACTTATGATTTGCCAGACGTAGTATTATTTGACTTTTAGAAACAAAAACCGGGAGGGTTCGGGAAGGGTGAAAACTACTCCCACCCCTACAACCCGCAAGTCTCAAAACGTCACTGATTTTTTAACATCAAGGGTTAAAATCTAGTATGCATCTAGTTGGCGGAATTGTGGGTTATATCAGAGTGAAATTATTTCGTTCATTTCACGTTAAGCCTTTCCACGCGATAGCATTAAATATTTCATAAAAAATTTGTGTTAAATATTTGTCGCGACAGATTTCAATAAATATATTTCTTATATATTCATAAAATATTCATTATAGATATTTGTAGTGTAAATATATATATACATTATATATAAAGAGAAAATGATCATGCGGATAAAGGTATATAACAAAAAGTAGGAAAATAATGGGCACAATCCGCAAAAAGGATGAAAGTGGATTCGAGCAAAAAATAGGATAGGTAACCCGAGCGATACCTATTTCTGCTGGTTGGCTTCATCAGGCCCGAAATGAATGTACATATGCAACTACAAAAGTAGATACACATGTCCACACATCCGGATACGGCTATAACCTGAGGAAACGAAGATGAAGAGGGATTGTACCCATTATTTTCCTACTTTTTGTTATATACCTTTTTCCGCATGATCATTTTCTCCTTGTAGATCATTTGGGCTTGAAGTACCACAGCAAGTGGCTATAACCGGCAGCGTGGTTGTGGTTAGATATCTTCTTTGAAAATTCGAGGTCTTCTAGTCATTTTATACTATAATGTGTAGGTTGGCTCTTGTTGTGGACTTCGTGTGTCGATTTTTTTCCCTCTCCATCTTCGTTTCCTCAGGTTATACCCATATCCGGATGTGGGGACATGTGTATCTACTTTTGTAGTTGCATATGTACATTCATTTCGGGCCTGATGAAGCCAACCAGCAGAAATACGTATCGCTCGGGTTACCTATCCTATTTTCTGCTCGAATATTAGATATTGAATAAATATTGGGGCAGGAATTGCCTACTGATCACCACTCACGTTTGGGATTTGTACAAAATGTACAGACGATAGGTCATTTCACAAGAAAATTTTGGTTACAGATGAGTTATGTTTTACCCGACGTGGTGTGATAAATTTGCATAACACACATGTTTACGCGGAAGAAAAGTTTCAGAAACATATTTACAATAGGAATTTAAAATTAACATTTGGATGAGGATTATTGGTAACTTTTTAGTTAGTCCAAATAGGTTGCCTGATAAATTAAATGGAGATTGCTATCTTCATTTTCTACAATACGTGTTACCTAAATTATAAGAAGAACTGCTTATGAATGTAATAGACATGTTTTTGCAATTTTCTTCACCTAGCATCTATTTGATGACCACCTCGTTATCCGGATCTTAATCCTCATGATATTTTACATGTATCAATGTATATGAGGTTCATATAGACAACGCCAATCAACTATGGGACAGGATTCAAAATGCTGCGAACATTAAAGAATAATGACATCTAAGAGAAAATTAACTATCTTTTTTGCACCGTACCGTGATGTGCAGGAACGAAAATGGTGGTCTTATTAAACACCTTTTATGAAAAATTCGCATTGTATTAAATAAAATTGTAATATCATACTGTTTATTTTTTGCTAACTACATTTAAAGAATTAACACTTGGGAACATGATGCAACATTTTTTTTTCTCGAAAACTATCCTAGTTGACATGTTTTTATAGGAGACAAACAATGGAGTAAATAAAATGATCTACTAAATAAAACAATCAGAATTATCGGAAAAGTTGCCAAAAAGTCTGCTATAATTTATGTTGGGATGGGGGTAGTTTCCATCCTTCTCGAACCCTTCAGATTTTTTCGTAAAAATCAACTATTAGAACAACTAGCAAAACATGTTGTGGTCCAAATTTGAAAGAAAACTTCATGTCTGAACGACTCATTTTGAGTATAAAAATACGTGGTAATTCTATGTCGCGGTATGCGATGTTTCATTTTAATCTGATACACTTCTTTTCTTTGCTTTTTCCTATCTTCTCTTTGTCTTTCGTTTTCTTTGACACTATCTTTGTTACTGGGCAATCAGGACTGACCAACCAATTCGAATAGATGATAAGGAGCCTAGCCTATATGTTTACATTACATTGTCGACAAAACTGCGTAGCTTTGGTGCATACTTTTGACTCATTTGTCTACCAATCCCTACCAAAGTGACAGCGTTGTATCAATAAAATACCGTTGGAAACATCTACCTTCATTAGGCTTGAGCCGCTGTTTGCAAATTATGTAAGAAGTACCATCTCTTGAAATCGTCTAACACCACAATTATCTGCAAACACTCGCACCTTTAAAAAATATACCAATTTAATGACAAAACTGTAAAAAAATGACATGTCAAATGTCAAGTGCACTTTGATCCTCACTACATACTATGGGAATTAGAAGACAAACAAATCCTTTACCAGCTCCTTCTACCTAGTCTGAATTGGTTGTGACTGACAGACTGGTCTGAGTTACTTTAAACAATGACAGTCCTACGGAGGGCCCATACAAAGACCTATGCTTGTTTAAATGGAAACACAGCAGGATCTCTATTTTCGAAATCGAGAGAGTATGATCACTGAGAGAAAGTGGGCGTGGTTATCTTCCCTGGGAAATGAACCAAACTCTGACATCTGTTGACAAGTTTGTGAATGCATACCCCTAGTCCAAGAATTGACTTACTTCCTGACCGACCGGGCTGAGCTGGGCGGAGGAAGGCAAGAACATCTACCGCATGTTGCGCAACCTACTTTGGTACCTGCAACATTGCTGTACAAATATGCTGGACACATTTGGTAAACTGAAGTATTCCTGGCGCAAACTGAGGCAGTGCAGATTTGACATACTACCCCAATGTCTTCCATTTTGATACTTGGACCTAACCGTCAAAAAATGTTTTTTCCTGATAACAAACCTATTCGTGACAGGCTGTAGGTAGGCAAGCCTAGTCTTTCTCTGTCAATGAACCTTGATATGAATTTCAACCATGGGTTTATTAAGAAAGATAAATGGTTATGGGACCACTGGGCCTATAAATTTCACCAACATTAATTTCATATTCTATACCTCCAGGCACAGATACGACAGTGAGCACAATCACTATCTTCCGTACAAAACCAGAGGACGCTGGCAACTACACCTGTAGCCCATCAAACCTGGACTCTGCCAGCGTCTATCTTCACGTCCTTAACGGTAAGCTCCAGAAGGTTAACAGGTAAACAGTAAAACTAAGGTAACACTTGCTGAAGAAGGATTTTTTTATTAGGTTGCTATAGACATCGTTCATATGAGGATAATTCGAGTGAAACTTGGTTCTGTATACAGGATAAATGACGTTATGACTTTTATCGGGTTTGTATCACTCGAAAGTCTAATTTAAAACATTTTCAATATCTGCAAGTTTTGGAAACTTTATCATGCAGTACCTCACGTTTTAATGTAAATGGAGTCTTGTCATTCTTGTTTACGATTAACACAATCTTAAACAGTTGCCTTAATTTATTCAAACGGTTTACAGAACCCAATCTTTTGTAACCGTCAAGAAGAAAGATTTAAAATGCAGAAGGAATTTGAAAGCTTGCACCACTGAGTTGTATCTTAGATCTCACAACAAATAGCCTTTTTGCGATATTCGATAATGTGATTAATAAATTACATAATTTTAAAATTTTTTCATACGCCTTTATTTTATGATAAATTTTGACTAAAGTGAGTGAAAACGTTTACCAGGAAAACAGAGTATGGTGCCAAAGACGGTGCTATTCTTAATTTTGCGCTTCTAAATAGAACATAGATTGTTGAAATGGGACTTCGAGTTAAATGTAAGTTTACGATGCAGGATACTGCCATTTTTTGAACCATTTTTCTATTCTTCAAAAGTAAGTTATCCTTGATACATCACTGTATACAGGGCTCAAAAGTTTTTCGAACTGTTCTCATTTGAGGGAGACAATATAGTAGTGTTGTTTGATCCCTATGCCAAGATTTGGCCAGTAATTTGCAGCAATCACCATCAATCAAGAAGGCGTCTGGGGACTAGTGGAACTCCTCACATCCATAGAAAATTGGGAACTAATCCATGTCTTGCTTTAACTAAGATCTAATTGAGAAAATACATTCTACGAACAAAGCTATGAAAAACTGCGTTTTTTATTATTTGTATTTTAAATAAACATTTATGTTGACCACATCCTACGTGTTTTTTATTCTTTCATCGACGTGTAAGAATGAACAGTAATGCAATCGAGCACGTTCAGCAGAACATGACGACTTGAGATACGCCTCCGAGGAGGTTTTTTTTTGACCGTTTTCAACCATTTAAAAGAGGGAGGAACCTGATGACAAAAAATGCAACCAGATGCCGAAGCTTGAAGAAATAATACCGCACAAAACACATACGGAAACAAAGGTATAGTACAGGGTGGCCGATATGTAACTGACTGCTCTGTATCTTGAATATTTGTGAAATGAAATAAAATACGTCCATTTTTTTCATCCTAATCTTTTATTGAAACTTATAAATTATGTACGAAAAACAGTATCAGACAAATGTCCGCCTGTAGAAGCCGCACAAAGCTGAGCCCTCTTGATTACATTTTCCATCATTTTTTGGTAGGTTTCCTCCATACCAAACACCCCACCAAACTGTGACTCGGCGAGGATGTAGTGGTAGTTGATGGATGACACGAGGGTTCTCTAATGCCCAGATATGACAATTCTGCTTATTAACAAATCATATCGAAGTGGGCTTCATCGCTCATTATCAGTTGTCGGTAAAAATCGTTATTTTATTTATTAAGCTGCAATATTGCATGACTGTTTTGTCGCCAACTTTCATGATCACTAGGCTGTAGTTCTTGGGTTAACCGAATTTTTATATCCGCAAATACAAGTCTTTTTTAAATAGTGCATATTGACGTGCGACGAATACCCTGTTCTTGAAAACGATGTCTGGTAGACGACTCAGGGTGCTCCACTACACTTTCACGAACTCTCTCGATATTTTCCGAAGTACGAACAGTTCAAACACTTTGGCAAGTCTTAAACTTCACCTGTTTGTTCAAATTTCCGCACCAACGTTTAATAATACGGACGCGTTGTGGGATCGTGTAGCGCTCCATAATGAATTGTGACACATGCACTTTAAGCAACTACTACGGCGTCACAATACTGAAATGCACGCAATTTAAATCAGTCAGTTATATATTGGGCCCAAATTTGCAGTATGTTTATTATGACCCGATTAAATGTCCCCATGGTTACCAATTTTGATAATGGACAATTTTCAAAATACTTAACGTTAAGGGCGAGGAATATGGCTTCCTGATAAATACACTCAATTTTCCAGCATCTCTAAAAGACAGTTCGCATCTAAGAAGCCGAAACAAGATCGTTTTCCGTATAGGCGTCCCATTGTCACCAGGGGAGTAGTACTAAAGTACTCATCATGATGCAACATTGACGTACGGTGCAAAAAGTTGCATTAACTAAATATTGCACACTACAATACCCAGTTTTTCAGGAGGTCGTTATTCATGCGTTTGCTCTCTGTCATCTATCTCCAAATGACTAGACCTCTACCATTCTGATAATAATAATAATACTTATTCACATCAATTATAAAATTGTGAAAATATCCTTTGCGTGTGGATATCATTCTAAAGCCGCGTACAGACCGAGATTCCAATGCAAGCCATGTGGCCAAGGGTCGCCGTTGGAGTCGATTGCGTTCGCTCCTTGATCGGTGCATTGGTCTGGACAGGATTTGTTGCGCTTCTAGTATTTAGTCGTTTATCTGCAACAGGAGCGGATCCAGGGGGGGTCATGACCCCCCCCCCCAGGCGAATTTAGTTCGACCACCAATAATTGTTAAAGTTCCAAATCTCTTAGATAAATCTGTAATGCACACATTTTAAATGGATGCCGTACTGGTATTTTCTACTAAACACTGGCAGCACTGCATCTGTCAACTTTGATATGATCGATAGTTGTTGTCATGTTTGCCGTGATTAATATTTCATTGAATACAAACTTGGTGAACAACACTAAAATACGTTAAATAACGTGCATTACTACATGATATATACGGGCACTATTTGCGAAAGTGATATTCTCCCCATTTATGGCTATTTGCCAATTAATGACGGCAACTGAGAATAAAAAAATTAGAAAGACCTGCACAAGTAACCAAAAACAAACTCGTGGATGTTGCAAAAAGTTTTTTAATAATAATTAACAACGTGCCAATAAAACAGCTAATTCAACTGTTTCAATATTCACGCGGATCTAAGATTTTTTCGATAACGTAAAATCCATCTAAACTGTTCAGAGAAGTTCGAACTACAGATTTTGCTGGCAATAAGGATGTCACATATTAAACGGGGCTTACAATTATATGCACAATAGTAGCTGCTACGCACTGTTGCCTCTGTTTACTATATGTCTATATAACCTGAATCAAGTAGAGACTGTGAGGTCAAACATTTTTTATTCAATGCAAAATAACAGAATTATTCTAATTTGAATCCGCGTCTTGCTTTTCGTTCAGTAAAAACTTCCATCGCAGAATCCAAATTGAGTGTATTAGCTACTGATCTTTCGATATAGAGGTTAGAGAAGTTTGTTGAGCGAGTCTTTAGCCAAAGAAGCTCGACAGTATTCTTTAATACTTTCAAAGAGCTCATGACACGTTCAGCACTAGCTGAACCGATAGGCAAAGTCAAAAACAATCTGAAATAAACTGCAGCTCTCTGGTAAACTGTCTACAAAATTGTTTGCAATCATGAACTTCAAATAATATAGCGCGCTGTCGTTAGTAACATTACGATTTCCCGAAAATACATGCTCGTAAAACTGGCTAATTCATATTTTAGAACTGTAGTGAAAAATTCCTAATATGTTTCCATCAAATTAGAGATGATGGTTTCTAATTCGTTTTCTTTTAGATTGACTAATTTCTGTGGCATCAAAAAACCAAACACATCATTCACTTCACGAAATCCTTCAGTTACGTTCTTGCAATTCGTTACTCATTGAATCCAAAACTTCGTAGTAATTTATTCGATTTCGTGTGTTTCAGCAGCTTTGTCGTCGAACATTATTTTTATTTTCCTCTTTCTGACAATCGTAAAACCAGGATTTTCCCATTCCATCTCTTCCCATCGATTCTTAGCCTTCAGAACAAAATTATCGTATATGCTTTCACTCCTCAAATCTTTGAATTTCATTAATGCTGCTGAAATGCACCTTTGAGCCATCATCAAGTCTATTTCTTTTTGCATTTGAACTTGCACGGTATTCATTACGCTCAATACTGAATGCCACCATAACAAATTGCAAAAAAGGTTCGGTTCATGGAGGAAAGGAGAGATCTTGCATTCATTATATTTTCGACAGAAGCTCCCACTCTTGAAATTTCATCTTCTATGCAATTGATAATACATTCAAAAAATTGCTTACACGATATTATCACGGAGAAAATAGATGTCATCAAATAAAAAAATGCACAGTATTGTGAAATTTTATGGTTATAAACATTGAAGACGTGAAAAGACTGTAATAGGCGCATTAGAGTCTTTATTAGACTCCAAGAGGCTGATTCATACCACGAAGATATTTATTTACTGAACATTATATGCCAGGTAATAATATATCACTGTAAGCACGAACATAACCTCTCCACTCCTTGAGAAATAAAAGGGTCATTCGGTCATTTTTTTATAAATGAAATAGTCATTTTTCAAAAAATTTCTTAAGAAATGGAAGGGAAATTTTATTATTCAAAACTGAATGGTAACGCGCTATTTCATAAACATTACGCAGATGGTCATTAAAGAATATAACAAAACTCTGATTTCTTGTTATCAATTTTACATTCAGACGCGCTGAACAGTATAGGCACTACAGCTGATTTTTGCTGGGGGGCCCTGTGACCACCCTTCCTTGTGGGGCCCAGGCGGCAATGTCCATTTTGCCATTACTTAAATCCGCCACTGTGACGGACAACCCCCTCCCCCGAAGATGAGAAGAATATCTTCCTGAACATGAAGTTTTTTGACCAGTGTGACCCCCCAGACACAAATCCTGGATCCGCCGTTGCTTCCATTATACCCTCCATAATTATGTTCCTCCTCCACCAGCCGATCAACCACAACTAATATGCCTAGTAGCAACAAAATGTCTGTACGGAGACCGTGCTCAGCTTATACGAGGTGTGACAATTAAGTAATGAGACTGATTCCATAAAAAGCGTATATTTGAAAAAAGCGTTTTCCACGCTCCGTAACATTTCTGGAACGCTGCGATTGGGATGTCCGCGACTACGCTCGTCACGACCGCTTGGATGTCCGTAATCTACTCAAAATGGGTTCCATATCAGGTGAATAAGGCGGCTGTTGCAACACGGTGATCCCTTTAGGCCCCTATCGTCAGTCTTCCCTACAATTGTAGGGCGCCTTTATGGCCTCCTTGACTCATAGTTTTCTACTTCTCCATGTCAGCGCACTTTTTTGAGGTTATGTCACAAACATATATTTGCATCAAATTGTGCTGCTTCTGAGTTATATCATGTTTTATCAGCCTGAAATTTCCTACAATTTAAAAATAAAACATATCTTCACAATAGGAGAGCGCTGACGCTGACATGGGACAGGTGCAATCTAGAAATGTTTGAAGGAGAGAAGGAGTATGACAATCAAGGAGGCTATAAACGCACCCTACAATTGTAGGGACGACTGACGATACGGGCCCGAGAGCCCAAATACTGGGACACGCTGAAGGCGGTGTGGCACGGTGCGTAGTCGTGAGGAAGGATCCAGTTGCGATATCCGGGAGCACCATTTGGACTCATTTTCGCAACTTTCGAGTACGTGGCGATAACAGACTTGATTTACGGTTTGCCCGATGGAACAAATTCTTTGTGGACGATTCCACGCTATCAAATAAGGTAGTGATCGTGGTTTCCACCATCGACTTGCTCATGCGAGCTTTTTTGGAGAGGTACTCTGAAATGCTTAAAGCTTCGCGAAAATTCCGTTGCGGCTCAATCAAATGCTTCTACGATTCCCCCATTATTCCCCATTTCATAAAATTGTTTTTTTTTATACTTCAACTACCACGAAGGCCGAAGGCCTAAGCACCCACTGGGTACCGTGGGGCTATAGGGGATACATGGGAAGGGGGAACGCCACACGGACTCTGGCGAGGGAACACGTGTGCATACAACATGCACACATTCTGGCTCCGCCTACGTGATCCGCCGGGTGGTACCTCCGCGTTCGACAGTCAGAGACCGTCTACCACCTACGGACAATCACAACATCCATAGCCAAGAGAAAAATTTCTCATGGGACGGGACTCGAACCCCCACAGCGCACGACGACTGATCAGGAGACCGAAGAGTCTACTACTGCGGCCACCGCTGCTGCCTGCTACCATTTTTTGTGTTGTAATATGTTGTGACCGAGCAAGCGTGACCCTCCATTACTCAATCAATTTTAACATTCTTGTTTACACTTCTAGTCACGCCTGCTCATTCATTACTTTTTAATTTTCACGAATTTATAGACACGATGGCATACATGATCCAAAAAAAATTCGATTAAATATTGTACGGCTCATCACAACAACATACAATTTTTGAGAATCGGTAACCTCGAACCTCGCGTTAAGCATTTCATCAATAACTCAAAATTGTTCAAGATCAAGATGGTTCGCTGTGCCATAAATAGTGACGTACCTACATTCTTTTCTTTAGTGTGTCGGATTACAATACGCGAAAACTCATGTGAAAGAATGAAGTAATGAGTAAAGCTACTTGATTCTTTGTATTGAGTGCATCACTGTCGTTACATTTACAAGCTAGATCACTATCAAAGGATAAATCCGAAAATAAAACAATATTTACCCTCGTAAGGCTAGGCAATTCCAATAATAAATCTAATATGCTGAATCACTGATCATATTTGATTGTCCAAAGGTCATAACTATTTTAGATACCAACAATCCAGATAAGTTATTTCCATAACCTATAATGCTCGTCTCAGTACACATCGTAATACGATATTCTAAGCCTGCTTTCTCGGACAAGTTAAACAACTGTTTGTTTTATATTGAAGCATATTTTTAAATGTTAAAATGGGAATATATCTAACGATAGTGTTTTATTCAGCAATTGCGTTAGTTATACTTAAGTTATATATTAAGTTAACGACAGGATGGTGCTATAGTCAAGTTTGCCTAAAAGGCAAAACGGTCCTAGTTACTGGTGGAAATTCAGGTGAGTGTGAATTTTGTTAATAAATTGCAACAAACCAGACCTATGATGTTTAATAAGAGTTGTTCATCATACCCAGAATAATATATCGAGCTCTCGTACACATAAAATTACTCAAGAGTAACCGATTTCCAGTAATGTCCTGTATTTCCGTATTTCACTTGTGGCATATTTGTGTTCTATATGCAAACGAAAGTTTCACATGCTATTCTGAGTCGCCCTGTTTGTATTATTGAGTTCTTTTATAAAAGAACTACTTAATTCTGACGAATCGAAGATCAGTGAAAATGTTATATATTTGTATTGTAGCTATTAGCTTTCCTGTCTTGCTTCGTCACTCATTGGTTACCATGAATGTTGACTATAACACTATCAAAAATTAATACTTTTAATGCAATAGACCAGATACGTAACCATGTGAATTTGAAAGTTATATCTATAAAAAGATCAAAAAAGATAAAACGTCTGTGTCCGAAGTCACTGTAAGAACTCGGCAGTTTTCTTATGGAAAAGAGAAAGACAAAAGTGAAAAAATAATTCGTCCTTCGCCATATAACATTTTTCGCGATGGTTTGGTTTGGTTTGTGTATGGTGTTAAGTCAGTTACAAGGGTTTTTGAAGTAACAAAATGATATGAAAAGAAAATATTGTTTAAATATGGCTAAAAAGTATGGGGTGGGGGTTTTTGAATTACCGCGAACGGCAGGGGTATTATGTAAAAACTTAAAAAAGTAAAAAAAACCGACGAAATGTCTTCTTACAGACTAAGTAGTTTTTAGTGAGAAAATAGTTCATTCCACATTTGCAGCTACAAAACGAGTTCACAACAAGTGTACAATAGAGATTGTGCTAAGTTAACATCTTGTAGAAAAACCTACGTTATGTCTCAAAAAAAACCTTCGAAATGTAAAAAAAAACAAACCGACGAAATATCACTTTCCAAGAAACGTAATACCCGTGCCGGGAATATGGGTAAGTGTTATCAACACGAGAGAACGTCTGACCTTCCGTTTTACTTCTTCTCTGATATTTACTTAAAACTTATGATGTCATCCCACACATATCAATAACCCCTACTTCGGGCCTTTCTGGGAGGGTCGGGGACCCCCCTTCCCCGGCCCACCCAGCTTATAAAGATCTTATATTGGTTAAGGGCAAATCCTCAGCGTCATATAAACATGTCTTTCATGGAGTAACTAATTGCGAATTGTCATTTGTCAGTCCGCAAATAGATGTGTATCGTTCAAACTTGCTAGAATACCCTCAACACAACAAGGTTCATTTTTTATTTACTTTTTGTTGGCTATTTTGGTAGGTATTGGCTATGAAACAGCTGCAGATTTCGCTAAAAGAGGCGCAAATGTAATAATAGCATGTCGGAATAAGGATCGAGCCGAAGCAGCGTGTGAAAAAATAAAGAAAGAAACTCACAATCAAGATATTCATTACAAGCTAGTCGATTTATCTTCATTCGCATCTGTGAGGAAACTTGCCGAAGAAATCAACCAAACCGAAGACCATCTGGACATTTTGGTGAACAATGCGGGAGTTTATAATGTCGGAAATCAGCTTACGGAAGATGGGCAACAGCTGTTGATACAAACAAATCACTACTCGCCGTTTTTGCTGACAAATCTCTTACTAGGTAATGGGGCATTTTACATAACAAAAAGTGTATTACAACTGTTTGCACTTATTATATGAAGTGGCAAACATAGCCTTCGAAAAATTGAACCTAAAATTTCGTGCCAAAGCTGTGGCATGTTTATTCATGCACAGCCCTTAGAATGTAACCCTGTTTCATCATAGAGGTTAGTTTTTCGTCAGATGAGAGGGAAATACGTTCAAAATCTGACATGGGTGTATGCAACGAATTCTAATGGTTTGGAAAGAGCAAAGACTATATCTTTACATTGCATAGTTTGTTGTCAAAATTGCGTAGTTTTAGTGCATACTTTGGACTCATTTGACTGCCACTGCCTACTAAAGTTATAACGTTGTAATATAATAATAGTACTTGCCGGTGGATAGAGCTACGTTCATTAGGCCTGTGTCGCACTTTGCAAATTATACAAACAGGATCTTGTTCTGAAATTATATAATACCACAATTATCTGCAAACACTCGCACTTTCAAAAGATAACACTATAAATACGAATTTCATGACAGAACTATCAAAAAACACTTGTATACAACAAAAAAATCATAGGCTTGCTCCTTCTAACTAGTCAGAATTCGTGTAGTGTAGGTGATACTATATATAGTTATTCACAATATTAAATCCTATTGGCTGTGCTATTAGTGGTAAATACCAAGGTTTTAAATGAGTTCTCTTTCTATGTACGAGCATTATTCTTGAAATATAGATGTAGACATTCTAGTTCACCTATTGCAAATGCAATTTGATTTAGGTAGAGAATACCGCATTGTATCTCAAAAAGGTGTACCAATAAAAATTACATTTTTAGATTTGATGAAGAAATCAAAAAGTCGAATAGTGAATGTATCGTCACTAGCCGGAATGGCGGCAAAAATGGATTTGGAGAAACTGAACAAATACAACAATTTTTTCACTGATTACGCACTGTCGAAATTGTGCAACATAATGTTCACAATTGAACTGGCTTCGAGACTGAAAGGCACAAGTGTGACGACATATTCTGTACATCCTGGTACTGTGAAGACGGAAATTATTAGAGATAGTGGCTTGGTAGCGATAGTTTCAAGATCTATAATTCGTACTTTGTTTAAGGTGAGAATTTCGATAATGAAGTTTATTTGTTAATTTTATAATATAGTTTTATTGTTACTTTGGATTATTGAATAGCTATGGATGCCTTATCGTTATGTGCGGAATTAAGGTCGAAAACGATTGGCAAAACACCTGAACATAGTATACTAAGTGACATATAAATCCGAACACCCAGTTTAAATGGTTTTATTTTGATAAAATTTTGTACTTAATGAAGCATAATAAGTAAATGATAAAAATTTCAAAATGATTGCACTGCCCTTTGACCTTTAATAATGTGTGGATGCACCCTGATGTGCTACGCATTCTCCAACGCGCCTAGGCATGCTTCTGATCAGGTGGTCAATGTCCTCCTGTGGTATCTCATTCCAGGCAACCACCAACTCCTCTCGAAGTGCTTCTAGAGTCTGAGGAGGACGTTGCAAATTGAGCAATCTCCTACCCATCATATCCCACACGTGCTCAATTGGGGATAAGTCGGGAGATCTTGGTGGCCATGGTAACAATGTGACATCATTATGTTGAAAGAAGTCCATTGTGACTCTTGCAACATGTGGTCGGGCATTATCTTGTTGGAAAGTTGGATCTGCCAGGGTGTCAAGATACGGTAAAAGATGGGGTTCTAGAACTTCGTGGATATAACGCTGCGCGTTCATGTTACCTCTGATGAAGATTAAAGGTGACCTGGAACCATAAGCTATAGCACCCCAAACCATAACTCCAACAGTGTGATGAACATGTCTTTCAACAAAAAACTGTGGATTCTTCCTTTCACCACGTCGCCTTCTAACCCTGGCACGACCATCGTGCATGCCTAAACAAAATCGAGACTCGTCACTAAAGACAATACTGTTCCATTCCTGATCCCAGAGTGACCGTTGTCTGCACCACTCAAGGTGATTACGTCGGTGTTCTCGAGTTAACGGGAGGACCCAGTGTGGCCGGTATGAAAACAAGCCAAAACTTCTCATTCGTCGGTAAACACTTCGCATGCCAATATGTCTTCCGTGTTCTGCAAACCATTCATTTGCAATGGACCTGGTAGTGGAGAAACGGTCCCTTAAGGCCAATAATCTTAGGCGGCGATCTTCACGGTCTGTTATTCTACGGCGGCGTCCAGTGCCCTTGCTCTTTGCGTACGGCCTTCTCGAAGCCATGCCTGACAACACCTAACCACAGTGTCTACACTTCTTTGCACTCTAACTGCAATTGCCCGAAAAGAAAGTCCAGCTTCCCGAAGTCCCACTATACGGCCCCTATCAAACTCACTAAGTTGACGAAATCGTACAGGTCTCCGTACTCTAGGCATCGTAACCGATCGTAAAGGATGTCAAGAACCAAAATCCGCCAACGTTGATTCTTACTGCGGCTGAAATATTCATTTTTAGAGCGTTAGTGAATTAAAAAAAAGCAGTATAAAAACCGGAATGTCCAACTGATAAGGCTGAAAATTTTTTCACTTGTTATTTACAGTAACATAAATACATTCACCAACTTTTATTAAAATAAAACCACTTAAACTGGGTGTTCGGATTTATATGTCACTTAGTATACATACAACTGCTGTGTAAACACAGCCAGTTTTGGCATGTCGCCTCTAGCGCATTCCTAGATTCGTTTTTTTAAATTCTCGACGTTCGAAATAGGCGATTTTCATTTAGAGGAGTATCCGGGTTTGAGAAGGCCAACAAATATGACTATACCCCATTCGTAGTCCATTTACACAAAACTCAATATGCCTAAAAGCTAGATTGTAGATGTCCGTATTTTTCTCGATGGTCTTGGAATAATCCAACAAAATAAATGATTATGTTTATAGAAATAAGTGCACACAATTCTTTATTCGCTGGAAGTACTTGAATCATCGTCCGAATGGTTAATATTAATTATTAAAGGTTCAATTTGAATACCGATCATATTGTCCACTCTGTTGACAGCTTCATAAAACAAATTTTTCGCGTCAAAAAATTTGAATGTTCTATTGTTTTGTTTATAGTTTTTTATATCTGCCCAAATTATTTCAATGGGATTTAATTCACGGCGATAAGGGGGTAGTCTTATTTTACCCATTTCGTCAATGACATTAAGATTATATTTATATTTGTGCTGCCTGACTACATCGATAAGTTCTGCTTCGACCATATTTTCATTGAAACTAATGTCTTTTTATATGAGCCATTGTTGAATTTCTGCCTTTCTTGTGGACATTGTGGGAATTTTTTCTAGTTTTCTAGTGTGGTATGAAGCATTTTCAAGTACAATGACGGCATTATCGTCAAGCTTTGGAAGCGTTTCTTCAAACCATCGTTCAAATGAACTCCCGTCCATTTCTTCATGGTAATCGGTCGTTTTCTTCGGCTCAAATGCCCATAGGGCAGTGGGGACAAAGCCATCTTTACTGCCAATGTGACATATAACAAATCGTTTTCCTTTTCCTGGAAATAATTATACAGTTGTTGCTTCCAAATCTACCAGATATAGTTAATTTTAGTGAAGCTAAGTTTTCAGGGTGGGCTAACACGGATGTCTTTTAAGTTTTGCGTATGGAAATAAAACAACACGGTAGGTAGTTTTAAATGACTTTATTGTTTTTCGAAGTATTCTCCACGAAGATTAATACACATCTGCATGCGCTCAAACCAATTTTTGAAGCACTTATTCCACTCGTTTGCTGGCAGATCCAAAACGGCATTTTTGAATGCGTCAACTGCTTCTTCTGGTGACTGGAACCTTCGTCCACGCAGTCTGTTTTCAATTTTTGGGAAAGTAAAGAAATCGTTAGGACTTAGATCGGGACTATATGGAGGATGGTCCAATAATTCCACGTTTTCTTCCGTTAAATACTGCCTTGTTTTTTGGGCTGTGTGCGAGCTTGCATTGTCTTGGTGGAGGATGATTCTTTTTTCGGGGTTGATTTTTCGAAGCTCGGTGATAACTTTTGGCAAACAAATGGTGGTATACCAATCCGCAGTAACAGTTCTTTGCTCATTAAGAGGAATTGTTGCAATATGACCCGCTTTTGACACAAATGTCGCGGCCATCTTTTTCGAAACACTTCGAGAACGGATGACTGTTGGCTTTTCTTCACCTTGGAACACCCAAACGACTGTCGTTTATTTTCTGGTTCATAACAGTAAATTCACGATTCATCACCACTAACAATTCTGTACACATTTTTTGAGTTTCCGGAATCGAAACAGTCAAGCGTTTTTTGACACCAATTAACCCTGGCTGCTTTCTGCTCTTCAGCCAACACGTGGGGTATCCAACGTGAAACTAATTTTCTTACTCCTAATTCTTCATGTAAAATTTTTTGAATTGAGGTCTTTGAGATCTTCAAGGACGCCTCAATCTCGCGATATGTCACATGTCTATCTTCAATGATGAGTTTGCGCACAGCATCGACGTTTTCCTTCGTCGCTAAGACTCACCCGTCCACGTTTGAATTCTTCGTACCAACGGGAAATTGTCGACTGATGTGGCGCTTCGTTGCCGAAAACAGACAGGAACTCAGCAAGGCATCCTTGTTGAGATAATTGTCTCTGGAAGTTGTAATAAATTATGGCGCGAAAATGTTGAGTTCCATTTTTCTAATGACTTGGTGACACTTAAAAATTCACTGTATTGACAACGCTGCACGTATTGTTCTGAAAATTTGAATTTAAGTTTACTAAAGAGTGAGGTTAAGATTCAGTACTGACGTAACGATCCGCGTGGCCTACTATAGTCAATTTTAAGCGGATAACCAAATGAAAATGGTATTTACCATTTTTGGTTGGTATTTACTGATCCATTCAAGCGAGTGTGGTTATCAGCGTGGTTATAACATCCGTGACGTCATGAATCAGCTGTTATATGTCATAGTTATCACCGCAAAATTGTGGTATCTACCTAACTCGGGAGTAGTTTTATATTTCTGGTTATTATTTGAAGTGTGACAAGTTATAATTTTGCCGGATATTGCATATTGTTATTGCACTCCAGCTTCCTTTTTGGGAAACTTCATACAGGCCGACTTCAGTTTTACCATCATAAAGTGGAGCACCTTATTAGTTATACTCATTACTGTTGTTGGGGATACTTTAAATGTAGTTCCTAAGCTTAACAAACTATCCTGTGTAGCCATATACCACAAGAATATTAAAATATGGCCATATAAACTCACTATAATGTCCACCTGTATACGGTTTTGCTAATTTCTTTTTTCATCATTTCTGCTGAATCAATAAATTGATGTTTTCTTTGACATGCGGAAAACTTTAGAGAATTGAAAGTTATCATAGCTACAAAGCCATGGTTCCATCATTAAAAAAAAATCTGAAAGAAAACATTTCTCCCATGAATATATGAAAGGTTTCTTATTTAAACTTTCCATACACAGTTGTAGACCAAAAAGCACCGATTATCAAGTGATAATAAAAATAATCAGATATTATATACGCGCTTTTCTAAAATAAACAACTTGCAACAAAACCGCGGTTAAAACCAACGTGTTCAAGTGATTCCTGTAACTGACGTCATCAACCCGTGTGTTATCTTGAACAATATTATGACCGCGGCACATAACACAGAAATTTTGGTTATTCTCTTGGATTTGATTTGTTTCTATAAGCAAAACTTAAAGGACATGCCTCGTAGATTCAGTTTACTCGATACCATTTTTACAACACAAATGGTTAGATACACGCACCTGACGGATTCTTTAGACCAGTGCTTAGTCCATCTAAGAAGGCTTGTCTTGCTGATTTACTTGAAATCAGTCCATACTTCAGGTTCTGTATGTCCTGCATGTATCCAGGTTTCATCCAAGTAATAAATCTTCCTACCCTGGTCGCGGTATTGCTTTACTGATTTGAAATAATTTCTTTGGAAGTAGGTAAGTCATCACTATTAACCTCCTGTAATACTTTATCTATGGTGGGAATTCCGATCAAAGTTATCAACTGTATCCAACAGCTCCGTGTAATGCAGCCTCTTGTGTGGTGGAGAAATTTTTTTATATTCTTTAACAATATTGAAAATTGTCTTAGGACATAAGCCACACGTCTTTCAATATCATGCATTTTCATTTCAGGATGCTCTAAAATTTCGCTCTTATAAACGTTAAGGACAATTTTTTGCCTGAATATTCAAATGTCCTTTCTTGTCACGATTTCGGGGAAGATTGGGAGAAATGTTCTCCGTTTCATCTGCTGTATCCGTAGACGACATGCTAACGTATAAACACACGCTATGTAAGCGCTGAATATGAACAGCAACTGCAGGCGTCGGCGTGCCGGCGATATCCCGAGGCTGAGTTCTATCCTGTCGAATCCTGTTCGTAGTTTTATGGCCGGGGCGTAAATGGACTTCGAATAGGGTATATCATAGAAGTAGTGACAGCAGAAAATTCGATAATGAATTAATTCATGATCGGTTTTTTCATATATTTTTAACATGTCGCGAACTTACTTTATGACGAAAAGGGACGTTTCAGAACTCGCATAAATATAATTGCTATATTTTGTAGAACGCTACAGAAGGTGCTCAAACCTCCATATATTGCGCTGTTGAAAATGATTTGGAGCCATTCAGTGGGGAGCACTTCGAGGACTGTCATATGGTTGAAAGATACAAATCAGCTCAGGACGTATGGATAGCGAAGTCGGTCTGGGCTAAGTCAGAAAATGTTGTGCAACTACGATGAGTACACCACCGCACATCGTTTTGAATTTATTGAAAAATGCATAATATCCAACTGTATAAACGTGAAGTTTTATCCTTTATATCATCTCAAATACTATAAAATATTAAAATAAAGTTTGACCATTTATTATACTCTATACTCTAATATTGAATAAATGCGCCTTTTTTATGACATGTCGTGTTATTTACATGAATACAGAAGTTCTGAAAGGCATTTAAAAATAAGGTAGGGCATTCAAGTGGAGAAGTAAAATACTCCCAGAAACTGTCAACAATTTTATTAAATTCCAAAACTAAGTTTTTGTTCAACAATAAAGGTAAGCAAAAACAAGCAATCCTAATTCTAATATGGCATATAATGAGGTATTTTTTAGTGATTGAAAAAGATAGTTTTGAATGTAAAATGTGTTAAGTGTAAACAATATTGAGTGGCTTAGTTTTGATGCTTCACAAAAAATGTAAATGCAAAATTTTTAGTGTCAAAACATAAACTTTACACCTGCATTATTCTTTATAACACATTATTAAAGTGATTTAAGAAATGACTAGAATGATAATTTTTGACTCTTACAATAAGTAGAGAATCGATCTTTATACCAAGATATGTGTATTAGTTATCAAATGCGTATATTATATCATGAGCAATTTTAATCGATGAATCACAGCCTAATGCAACTGCCTGATATTCAAAATGCTGGTAAATATCTCGAAAAAGCACTGTAAATGTTAAACTGTTATTCCACAATTGGACGAAAATTGACACTATTAGTATAGTCAATTCAAATCACGTGTAGAGTAAACATACCATGAAACATGGCTGGTACTGCACTTCAGTTACATAAAAATCACAACACAAAATCATACAAACATTATCATCAATAGTGCTTGAAGATTACTCAAGGTTGCTTAAATTATCACTGCTTATTTAAAAAAAAATGTTTCTAGAGAACCAGACACAGACTTTTTGGTCATAATCCTAACATTTACTCTATGCTGAATTTGAATAGACCATTGGTGAATACTATCATAGGTTGTGTGCATAAATAATCCTAGTCAAGTGACGTATCTCTAAAATATTAGCTGGTTCTTCTATTAGATCCGGTGGTGATCTATCTCTCGACTAGCCTTTGCTACGAAAATTAGCAATTTATGTCCTGCAAAGACTTCAGTTGTTTTTCCTAGCTGCTCTCTTCCTTTTCGTGTTCAATCTCAATGTTACATTCTCTTCATCTTCTACATTTACGTCCCATATTTTCAATCGTATTGGGAGATAAACCAATCCTCCCAGTGTAACTACTAAAAAGTATAGTTCTAAATAAAAATGAAGAATCGAACTATTCGTTATTTTGAGGGATATGAAATTTTCCACCAAGTCCCTATTTTATATGATACGAATCAATCGATGTTTTCTTTAAAAAATACACTGGTCTGTAATGAAAAATTTGGAGAGGTCAATTAATTCAAGGCGTTCAAGTAGTATGAAGGCATATAGACGTACTGTTTAATAGTAGCACATATCATATTTGTTTAAAGTAACAAATTTGATCAATTGTCTACACGACGAGGCTTCTACTCCATATTAGAATTACCTCTCATTTGTAAAGCACATGTTCCAGAATAAAAAACATGAATTAATTTTATTTAAGGGCCTCACCATTTAGAATGAAGGGAAATACAACATAAAAATTCAATGTTGCTGCTCTGAAGTAGATTGTTTCTGTTGAATACAATATAATTGTTAATATCAGGGAGCAAACTCCCATGCTAACAATCCTGAAACAAAAACGATAGTACATCTAAACTGTGAGTCAGTATTGTATTCATAAGAAGCGAACAAACATGTTTTATACTGAAGTAGCTGTGTAGGTAGAAACCTGAATACTGGTGCACTGCGATGTATATAAGAAACTTAAAGAGCGCCTTGTTATCAACAAAATGCACAAATACAACCTTGAAATTGTGCCATAAGTACGCATTCAGTTTTTGTTGTGTATGGTCATAAAACCGTAACTTTTTACAAGCGTTCATTACAAGGTGTTAATATGTGTGGGACAAATCTTGCAATTGAATTTTGAACCAGTTAACCTTACCCAATTGAGCTAACATTTTGTACACATGTTGGTTTGCGTGACGATACAAAACGAACCGCCGCCATTTTGAATCCAATATGGCACAACACAATTAGCAAAGTGACGTCATTCTAAAGCCAATATGGCGACCACCGCAAAATGGCGATTCAGATTTTTCATAGGTCCCCTATGATATGAGTAACAAATTAAAGGGCTTGATGAGAGAAAGACAATATATACACAACAACGTCATTCTAATTTCCATATGGCGAACGCCGGAAAATATGGATTTATCATTGTATGATTTATATCTGTCGAAAAATGAGATGCAAATAGAATTTACCGAACTAGTTATTTGACATACAAAAAGAAAAAAGAATTAAAATAAAAAAATCCTTTTTAATAACATACTTCTATTAAGCTGTGAATAAAATGTGAAAATATTTTTTTTTCAATTTGGAAATATTTAAACGTAACGGAGCAAATAAAATAGCAGAATGGAAAAATGGTGTAACACGCTTTTATTTGAAAACTTGAAGGAGCTTCATTATCGTTCAAATATTTCCAATCAAAAAAAAAATATTTTTATATTTTTAGTTCACTTTATTAACAGTTAGATAAAAGATTGTTTTTAAACTGAATTTTTTATTTAATTTATTGTATTCCTGAACTCAATATTGCACTCCCTTAATATTCAAAAAATTCACTTTGAATAATTTAACACTGTCATAATCATTTTGATAGAAAAGTGTTGATATACAATCAGATGTCAAAATGTCTTAACATATGGTAACACGTGAGAGCGTCAGTATGTGACATGAGAATGGTAAGTTTCTAAATCCATAAACTTCTAGGTGTATATAGGATTCCACATATATTCTCACTAAGTTTAATATGGGCCTAACAGTTTATAAGGCCTAAATATAGATAAGGTAAAGAGGGACTCAATGACATAAGGAAATGTTAACCTCAGGTGATAGTATTACCCTAAAAAGATTAACTAGACACCTTCAGATAATCCCTTAAACAGGATTAGAATAAAGAGAGCATAGAATATTTCATTTGAGCTTATAGTATTACCCCTGAATAATGTTATTTTGCCAGTACCTTAATCAGAAATCACTTATATTAAAATTTCATTACAAGATTCTATACATATATCTAGCTTTTATATGTTACTGGTTAAAAGTGATAAGAATATCTTTCAAGAAAACTGCATTAAGTATGCTACCGAAAATTTAAATATCGACATCAACGTTTATTGTGTGTATTTAAAATTTTAACTTCACAGGCACTTAAAATGGCAATTCATTTTGTAAAAATTAGATTAGATCTATTTACTAGCAAAACTAAAATGAATCAGATGAAGGATAAGATAATAGCTATTTAACCTGCTGACTGCAAAATCCGTCATTATGACGGGTACGTTTTACATTTATGCTGTTGGGATCTTTTCAACTTGAAGCTACTGTGATCTCATTTAATAGTCATATTCGATGTTATTTAGATAAAATGTGTTCTTAATTCCCACAAATAGATCAACTATGGTTGGTTAAAAAGTGCATTGCACTGGAACAATTTTCCAGAATGGGTGGGATGGGTGTTCCATATAATGGGATATGCAAGTATGTTGTAGTCAAAGATTTATAAATGCAGTATTTAATCCAAAGTTATTCCATATGGAAGGTGATGTGATATTAAAAGTAATGATTAAAATAAGTATCCTACAGAAAACAATAGCTGTGTTTACTAACTTTCAGTAGCTGATTCTGAGTCATTTTTAGCTCACTTGCTGAATCCCTACTATTATAAATGAGAAAGTGTAGATGTTTGTAACTTCCCAGATAGAACTTCCATGTCCTAATGGAATTTAACAAGTGGAGCTTGGCACTGAAGCACTCAGTCGCTGGCCCGACAATAATATATATATATATATATATATATATATGGGTTGTTATATATCCTTGAATTTCTTTGGCTAGAAGGCAAAGTTTTGCATAAATACACTCTTATAACTTGAACTCGAGCTTACGATGGTCTATGCCATCATCGTCTGGAGCTAAAAAACAACTTTTGAAAAATAGCAACAATAAGCAATTAGGTGGAAAAAATATAACATTATAATATATATTAATATATTCCGTCCTTATCGAACCTCATCAGTCCAGTTTTTTGTTCGTCGATTATGTGTTCCCTTTCTCGGTCGTTTAAGAACAATTTCAGCAACAATCTCGCCGACATAGTAAGTAATTATATTTTTTCCTCCTAATCGCTTATGCAAAACTTTGCCTTCTACCCAAAGAAATTCAAGGATATATATAATATTATATATATATATATATATATATATATATATTAGTACCTACTTGCGTTGGGCATTTACTGCATTTTATTATAAATGCAATAGTGTGTATGGTTGTATGTATGCATGTCCGTTTTTACGCCAAAATGGTTGATTTTGATGATTGTTAGCATAGGTCTATATTAGACCTGGAGACCTGTATTGATGTGGGCGAAAGTTACTATGGGGAATTATTATTCAAGTTAGAGATACAAACATGGGTTTCTATATTTGGTTTGTATAACATTTATGGACACTTACAAGGAAATTTTAGAAGTGGGAGGTGAAGGATTAATGCTCTTGAGGCTGAAGAATCTAGAATATTTCAAATTAAGTTGACCTACAAGTAGGAGGTTATGTTCTTAAAATGAGGTAGGAGGGGGTTGAATATTTCTATGGGGAACCTTATCACTTTACCAGTTGAGTTTATAGAAATTTCTCTAAAAAACTATTTGTGTCCTATCAACATGAAACTTAGGGAAGTACTTTATGGACAAAACATGTCAGCTAAGAACAGACTTGCATTAAGGGGGGGGGGGTGCTAATATATATATATATATATATATAAAAGCATTAACCACATGAATATGAAATTTAGCAGGCGTGACACCTCAGCTGAAATAGATTTTGCAACAAGACTAGAAAAAGGTGGATAACCAAATTAGTATGTATGAAAATCATTTGTTTTTTTACTGGATATAATTTTGCAGGGAGGGAGTTTATAGATGGTCGATGTCAGTTAAGAATGGATTTGGGACAGAG